GAATCAGACTCGCTGCCCTCGAGGGGGATCGATACTACTATGGTATCTGTTTGCCCATCCCGCTTGGGCTCGTGTGTTTGATCATCAGCGGGCTTGCGCGAGCGCAAAGTCCGCCTCTCTTGTGGCATAGCGTTCGTCCTTTCGCTTGCTTCCACACGGTCTCCCTCCTGTTCTTTGCCTACTTGATCACGCAAGACATCAGTAGTAACGTCCGCACTAGACGCACTCCTAACACATTCGCTCATATTTTTGCCTTTTGTCATCATTATAAGTAAAGTAAAATAAGAGGGGATTAGGGTGAACTCGACCTTTCACGGGTGCCCTGAATCCGTTCGAGAGTCAGGGTATGCGTTTAAGAGCCGGCTCTGACTTCGGACTTACTGAGGGCTCATTTTGGCCCTCTTATTGCCGGGTCGTCACTGCTTGGCCCGCTGCCGGGACAGCTACCCATTTAAATGGCCTCCTACCCAAGGTCGCCCCAGCCCGGCTGGTTGCTCGGCTTGGGCCGCCCCATCATCCCTACTAGGAGACGCTCTTCCCGCTTCTAGTCCTCCGAGTTCATATACGGCCATCCAACGCATCGTCAGGCCTTTAAGCACCACTCCCCCCCAAGGACATAAGGAAGTTGGCCCTATGTCCGAGGAGTGGCTCTGCCGACTGCCCGTCAGGATAGACACCAGCTAGCAGGGTCCTACAATCCACTGTAGGCGCTACCCCCCTGGCCACCAGCGAGGCTTCGGCAACGGGAGTACGACTCCTCGCCCCACTGGCTTCGGCATGCAGGCCGTGGCCCCCAAGCCAGCACCGGGTGTGCGAAGCCCGGTCTTCCTCTTGGGAAGCTGGTTCTTCTTTTACCGGACAGAAGGAGCTTTACGTGGTCTGCGTTACCACGGGCTAAGGCTAAGTCGACTGCATTCAACCGCCTTTTGGCGTGAAACATCGGCCCCGTGCCACTGGGTGGATGCGGGAGTTCGCTTTGTGTGTCTCAGATCCCAGAGGGTGCGGATTGTCAGATTTATGGCCTCCAGTCACTGTACCGACGCGGAGTTTGAATCCAGAAGTTTCGGCGTCCACTGCATGCTCCAATGTGTATTATCAGGGACATAACCCATCGGCCCGGGGTACAATGTGCATCTCGCTACAAGCAGACAATTTAACCGTCGCGAGTAGGGGGACTCGGGACTGTTTGCTGTAGCAAAGAGTCCCTACCACGTTACAGCAGCGCCCCTATTGAGTGCCATCACACCGCAGGCCAGTGAGTGCTTACGCTTCCGTCGGCAGTGCTACCAACTTCCATCAGCTACTGCTAACTTCCATCAGACAAACCCAATAGACTACACGTTGCATATCTCGTCCAAAGACAAGTCCTCCTTAGGTACCGTATTAGCGACGGTTACAGCGACCATCCCCCAGCTCCGGACTTATTGAGGGCTCGTTTTGGCCCTCTTGTTGCTGATACCATTAGGGATAGCCCCGTGCCTCGATCGCACCAGTCTCCCTTTTGTTTTGATGTGAGTCTGCATGCCACAATGCCAATTAGCAGCTCTAGTAGCCGTCTGTTCCAACGGGGATAGGTTCCAGATTAGGGAGACATTCAAAAACCCCGCCGGAGTCGCCCCCACCTTAGGGCGACAATCGGACAGCAAGCTATTAAAAGGCTTGGTACACAGACCCAAAGCCTAAGATGTAATAACGCCTCTGGAACTTTCGGCTCGAGTCGTAAGACTCCAT